CTGTTATGGTCTATATGCTGATTTTTCGCGTCAAAGGCTGAAGGGCCTGATCCTATCATGTGGAGAGCTAGCAGGGCATCAATCAAACAAACAAATAAACAAGGGACACCATTAGGAGGAATAAGCAGTTTTAGATTCTGGCAGAGCACCCAGGATGTACCAACAACTTTGAAGGACAGAGCAAAGATGAGCTGCTTGGTTACACAGAAAGTAAGGGAAAGACTCTTAATGAAGTGCACTGAGGTGTGCTTGTAGCTAGGATTACTTAGGAACAGCTGCTAGAGCAATGACAAAATGAAGGCAAAGAGTGAGTGTGCTTCCTATTTCTTTGTTGCCATCTAGTGGTCATCAAGATTTGGGTGTAGATCACTACAAGGAAGTTCATAATAGTAGCATCTTCTATATCATTGGGTTTTGCTTTTCAGGACCTTATAGAAGAGTGGTGTGGAACTATGGTCCTTTTATGATCTGTGAACATCAACTCCCAGAATTCCTGAGCCTGCTCAGGAATTCTGGTCCAAGAATTATGGGAGTTGAAGTTCACAAATTGTAAAAGGTTAGTTCCACACCCCTGTTCTATATGGTCCTGAAAAACAATGAAGGTGTAAGTTAAATACAACATCTCCTATCTCTTTCAGTTCTGAAGGACAGAGGAAAAAGGTTCTGAACTATATGGATCGCCATTTTTTTCAGGTTTTCCTTGAAGAATGATAAAGAATGACTCTTTAGGACTTCTACATCAGGAGTTTAATACTTAACTACTTCTGATGAAATATGGATTCCTGATTTGGTAAGAAAATTTCTGATGATAGGGTGAACAAAAACCAGCACAATTTGCTAGGGGACATTATATGTTGTGGGTTTGCCATGTGAGAAAAGATTGATAATAGAGTATGTTTGGCCACAGTAGGTGTCTAGCAAGATCAATTACTCATTACACAGAATTACTGTTAGATGTAATTTTATAAACCAAATTACCTGCCAGGGTTTCTTAGATGGAATTTACTTTCTTAAAGCGTAACTTCTAAGTCATTATAATTTAATAAAAATATGAATGCAATTCTCCCTCATTATAAATAATCTACTCAATTATTCATGAGTCATAATGCCATATTTCTCACTTCTTTTGCATTCATCTTCTTTGCAACAACCTAGCCTACGGCACTAATGAATGCAGGGCAGATTATAAATCTTGAAAAGTTCAGCTCTAAAGGCAAGTTAAGATGATTCAATACAATACAATACAATACAATACAATAGCAGAATTGGAAGGTACCTTGGAGGTCTTCTAATCCAACCCCCTGCCTAGGCAGGAAACCATATACCAGTTAGACAAATGGCTATCCAACATCTTCTTAAAGACTTCCAGTGTTGGGGCATTCATAACTTCTGGAGACAAGCTGTTCTAAATTGCTTCTGTCCTTGATCAGTTTCCACCCATTGCTTCTTGTTCTACCCCCAGGTGCCTTGGAGAATAGTTTGACTCCCTCTTTTTTGTGGCAACCCCTGAGATATTGGAACACTGCTATCATGTCTCCCCTAGTCCTTATTAAACTAGACATACCCAGTTCCTGCAACCACTCTTCATATGTTTTAGTCTCCAGACCCCTAATCATCTTTGTTGCTCTTCTCTGCACTCTTTCTACAGTCTCCACATCTTTTCTACATCGTGGCGACCAAAACTGAATGCAGAATTCCAAATGTGGCCTTACCAAAAGCATTATAAAGTGAGATTAACACTTCACCTGATCTTGATTCTATCCCTCTGTTTATGTAGCCTAGAACTGTGTTGGCTTTTTTGGCAGCTGCTGCACACTGCTGGCTCATATTTAAATGATTGTCCACTAGCACTCAACTCCTTTGAACGGCTAAAATCCTTTTCCAATTACTTTCCAAAGCAAAATAAAGATAGTTCCTTGCTTGATTTATATTTTCTTTGCTATAGGTCAGAGGAAAGAGACACCGAAAGCTAGCAGTTCCTTGAAAGTATCATAACAGTGAATTTTGGAAGAGATATTAAAGAGCTGGGATAGTTCTTATTAACCAATAAAGCCTTTTTGCTCTCCCATGAAGAAAGGCTTTTGTCCAGGGGTGGACTGTTGGGGGTTCGCAGGGGCTCAGGAGAACTTCTAGCTAAGATTTTGTGCAGTTCTGAGAACCCCCAAATCCCACTCCTGGTTGGCCCTGCCCACCCCACCCCACCCTTCCCAGGAGTCCCCACGTGGCTCATTTTGGATGCAGTTAAGTGCAGGGTGCACATGAAGGCTCAGGGAGGGCGAAAAACGAGCCTACCTGAAGTTCGGGAAGGCCAGAAATGGGTCCGTTTCTGGCCTCCAGAGGGCCTCCAAACGGCCTCCAGAGCCTGGGAAGGCTGTTTTTGCCCTCCTGAAGGCTCGAGGAAAGCCTCCGGAGCCCAAGGAAGGCAAAAACTCCCCCTCCCCGTGGTGCAGAAAGTTGACTAGGCCACGCCCACCATGGCCATGCCCACTCATCAGAGAACCCCTTGCTAAAATGTTTGAAGCCCACTCCTGTTTTTGTCCACTGGTCAGTGATTACAAAATAAAAGGGATGATGTAGCTGAGGAGAAGAGCAGCTGGGCTGAAACCAAAGCAAGTGAAAAATGTGCAGAGGAAAATCATCCTCAGCATGATAATTAACACAAGCAATTCAATATTAATGCTTTATGCCTATGGTGATCAGGGATACTTTCACTCCTTGTACAAGAACAAAGCCAGGGATTACACCAGGACACAGGACACTGAAGGCATCTGCTAGTTACAAGTTGAAAAATATCACATCAAGTTATTTGCAACCCACAACATCCGGGTTATACAATTCTAAACTGGAACTCTATTTTGTCCAGCTGGGAAAATCTCAGAATGCCCTTATGTAGCAGATGTTGCTTAATAATGGCTTCTTTTCCTTAGCAACACATAAGATTTAATCTGAACAAATAGGATATTTAAGCATTGAATTTTAAAAACTTACGGCTTATGTTGATCAGCGCATCCTCTTGGTTTTAAGCTTCCTGTTTAATCCTCTTCATTTTAATTGCTTTGCATTATCCGTTTTACCTTTTCATTATATTGTAAGCCAACCATCTCACTGTAACCATGAGATGGGTGGCATGAAAATTTAATAAATATGTTGAGATTATATTTGATCTTATATTAATCAGATTCAAGATAATTCCCCATATTTTCAGACTCTTTGCTTGTTCTCATGCTAGAAGAGTTTATATATCAAGATAAGTCACAATCCAACGACTCTTCAGTTGCCACAACCATCCTGATGCAACCTTGCTTAACCCCCTGGGTTGAGACTCCCTTCCGATAATGACTGATACACAAATCAGAGAATTGCTTTTCTGCTATATTCAGCAATCAGAGGAGGAATGCTGTACAGTGCTGGTGTCACAACTATTCAGAACAAGTTGGACTGAAAACAGTATGAACTTTGAAGATTAACAGTGCCAGCAGCACTTAGACTTATATACGGCTTCAGGGTGCTTTACAGCCCTTTTTAAGCAGTTTACAGAGTCAGCATATTGCCTCCAACAATCTGGGTCTTCATTTTACCCACCTCGGAAGTCAGTGAGAATCAAACTCCCAGCAGTTGGCAGAATTAGCCTATAATACAATAAGCCATGGTGGCACAGTGGTTAGAGTGCAGTAGTTAGAGTGCAGTACTGCAGGCTACTTCTGCTGATCACCGGCTGCCAGCAGTTTGGCAGATCAAATGTCACCAGGCTCAAGGTTGACTCAGCCTTCCATTCTTCCAAGGTTGGTAAAATGAGGACCCAGATTGTTAGGCGCAATAGGCTGATTTGGTAAAACCTCGTAGAGAGGGCTGTAAAGCTAATACTGCACTCTAACCAAGGCTCTTACATGCTATCACCATTAGTACAATGTCAATGTTAGCAAGGCAGTGATCAATTTCTCATATACAGGTAACCCTTGATTTAAAACCATTCATTTAGTGACCATTTGCCATTACAACAACACTAAAGTAACTTATGACAGATCCTTTAGCTTAAAATCGGCCCAACTTCCCCATGGTTCTGTGATCAGAATCCAAATGCTTGGCAACTAGCATATATTTATAATGGTTGCAGTGACCTGGGGTCGTGTGGTCACTATTGGTCAGCTTTCCACCTGTCTTCCAATGAAAAAAATAAATAGGGGAAGCCAGATTCACCTACCAACCATGTGAGTCACTTAACAACTGCTGTGATTCACTTAACTGGACTGGATTACTGTAACGCGTTCTACATGGGGCTGCCACTGAAGAGTGTTCGAAGACTGCAGTTGGTCCAGAATGCAGCCGCGCAAGCAATATTGGGTGTACCTAGATATGCCCATGTTACACCTATCCTCCGCGAGCTGCACTGGCTCCCCATTGGTCTCCGGATGCGCTTCAAGGTGCTAGTCGTTACTTTTAAAGCCCTACATGGTTTAGGACCTGGCTACCTGAGAGACCGCCTCCTGCCATTCACCTCCCAATGACCAATAAGATCACACAGACTGGGCCTCCTTCGGGTGCCGTCGGCCGGTCAATGTCGGTTGGTGGCTCCCTGGTTCCCTTCTCTGTAGCTGCTCCAGCCCTATGGAATGATCTTCCCGTGGAGATCCGGACCCTTACTACTCTTCCGGCCTTCCATAAAGCTGCTAAGACCTGGCTGTTCCAGCAGGCCTGGGGCTGTTGATTAGTATCCAGCCCCTAACAGTATGCATGGTGTGAATTTTTAACCATTGTATTTTTATTTTTAATTTTTTATATATGTTTTTGTCTTGCCTGTAAGCCGCCCAGAGTCCCAAGGGAGTGGGCGGCATACAAATGTCAATAAATTGAAATTGAAAAAAATGAAATTAACTGTGGCAAAAAAAAAAGATTATAAAATTGGGCATAATTCACTTAACCACCTCGTCTAGCAACAGAAATTCTGGTCCTAATTATGGCCGTACGTTGAGGACTACCTGTAACCAGATCAGTCCACTTACCTTGTAGTAGAAGAGAAAGAATCCGCAGAAAAGGCTGTATAAATCTGCTGTAAGGAGGGAGAGGTTGACTGCTGTAGCGCTCGTTTTCTTAATCACCACAGGCATGAAGCTATAGAGGCCAAACATGCAGGCACTAAAGCCAACATACAGTAATCCTATAGGAAGGAAGGAAGGAAGGAAGGAAGGAAGGAAGGAAGGAAGGAAAATGATAAGCAGTCAGTACCATCTTGCCCACCTTTTTCCGAAGGCAACGTTTCTGCTGAGAGAAACAAACCTTTGAAGATTTCTAACTGCCAAGGTGTGCCAGGAGAGAGGGAAGATGGCCTTAATTTATTTGTGATCTGAGGTGGCAGAGTCAGCTGAGACATAATCCAGGGGAAAAAAAAATCTTACCTTCAGGTATGTACTTGCAGGGAATGCAATAAAAAAGTGAGAGTGGCCTGGTGTGACATTTCATTGTCATGGCACACATTTCAATCCTGACTTTTCTGACAAAGCTCCTGTGTATTTGGCTACCTAAAGTACGGCTGACTTGAAATGTTACAAGAATGTCATTCTGGGCCCTTCCTTGTTTGATAATTTCGAATCTTCCAGTTTTCACAGTCACTGCCTACAGTTCTAACACTCCGCCCTCACCCTCCCTGTCTTCGATATTCTATATTTGTACGACGTTGCTACAAGAATGATCATCATAGCAAAATAATCATATGTACTACAATCACAAAAAAATAACAGTATCCCCAAATTTACAGGTATAACTAATAACCGAAATTCAAAAGCAAAGTTAATCCACAAGAATTATCAGCAAAAAAGAGATCAACGAGAGGCAACATCTCCCCTTTATTTATTTATATACTGCCTTTATTGTTTTAATGGATAACTCAAGATTGCAAACATATTTAATGCTCCTTCTTCCTCCTATTTTCCTCCACAGCAACAATCTTGTGAAATGGGTTGGACCGAGAGATAGTGACTGGCCCAAAGTTACCCAGCTGGCTTTCGTGCCTAAGACACGACTAGAACTCCCAGTCTCCTGGTTTATAGCCTGGGACCTTGACTATTAAACTGAACTGCTTCTATCTGTATAACTAGGCAAATTCCGAATACTGTTTCTTTCCCTGTGTGATTTATGTCACAATCTCATATCATTTTTTCCTGAAGACTTTTTCCAGAACAAACATACCATAAATTTACTAAGGCAATGTAATTACTTTCAGTTCCTTGGACACATGAAAGTCTATTTACAGCAGGGTTAGGATTCTTTTTTTCCTCAAGAGCTACTTTCCTTTTGGTTTAAAGATGGAGCTACTGGTGGAACTGATGGATACTATTAAAATGCAGCCATCCATCTTCTAGTACACAGTACATATTCAGCACTTAATGTACACTGGGGAATGGGGTGGGGAGGTTTTTGGGAGAGAACAGTTAAATGTCTCCTTCTCAACATTTCCATTACTTCTTAGCTTTGAAGAAAGCTGTTAAGCTTTTGCAAAGAAGATGGTGCATCTTTTATGATGGAAATAGGTAAGAGGCTAGCAAAGCTGAATAGAGAAGGTTGCTTTTTTGTGGTATTCTGTGTCTAGAGCCTTGGCAAGGTCTGCAGAGCCCTTACAGGCCACATATTGTTCTGTTGCACACATTGTTAAGCAATTCTGCTACAATTCACACACATTGGTGAATTGTTGCACACATTCACAAAAACACACAAAGCAAGTCTTTGCTTATGGGTATCTGCAAGGAAGACCAAAAGGGTGAATAACTTCATGTGTGTCATGCCCTTCATGTCATTTGCATAACAATGTCATAATATTAATAATGTCATAATGTTTGTCATCATCATGACTTCCCTGTATTTCTATACTTAGGCTCCCAATATTTTTCTGCACTGTTTTTTTTAAAATTGTATTTCTATCCCACGGCAGTCTAATATTTCTTTGGTGGCTTCATCCATTGCATGATTAAAAACACTAATGAAAAAATGATCATTAACTGCCCAACCAAAAGACATGATGTAACCAAAAGACATAATATAATCAGAATAAAATACCAGGAAGTAAATGAAAAGGAATAAAAGAAGGCACATCGTGCATGCTTTGTTAAAAAGATAAAACTGTCCAAAATATTAGTTTATGTAGGAGATGACCAGGCTGAGCTTGAGGGAGAGGTCAAAGGTGCCATAAGTCACGAGTCCCTGCATGCCCACAAGAGATCTAAGTACACCCACCTTGAATGCCTCTTTTATCTCCCATGCATTTCCCTTTACAGTCAGTTGGCCAGATTCCTGTAGAAAGCTTAAGCTTTCAGTAAACTTTTATACTCATTTATACTCATTTGAACTGCCTGAATCTCTTAATTTCCTGGGCACTTGACAGTTTCTTTTGCAATATTTTGAAAATTAGCAAGGAGGGGGATAGCCTATCACCTGCTATTAACATAAGTTTTCAGCAAGCACACCAGGAACTCTGGCATACTGAAATTAACACGATGAACTGGAAGTAACTGAAAGTAGAAACACAAGTTTTCAAAATACTCCACTCAGCTGAGAAGGAAAATCAGAAAAAGGAAGAGGACTTTGCTCAAACATACTTAGATCATCTAAATTATGTCTCAAAGCTATATATAGGTAGCCCCAAAGAAATCTTGAGCATGCACCCTGGAAAGCGTCCAAATCTGTTACCAAATTATCATGTTTAATGTAATAGAAGGGGAAAAGAATAATATTAATATTAATAATATTAATTGTATTTCATTGGAATGATATGTCCAAGTTTCATTGGAGTAATATATCCAAGGGATGCCCAATCTTGACAACTGTAAGACTTGTGGACTTCAACTCCCCGAATTCTCCCAGCCAGTCATGGATACGTAAATAAAATGGATACATGTAAATAAAATCAACTTGACATTAATTATTATTCCAACTCTGTCCATTCTAAGCCCAAAAAAGTTGCATCTCACTGATTTAGCCTAATGCGCAAATGGAATCCAAAATCAAGTGCTCTCTGCTCTAACAAAACATCTGCTTTTGCTAATTGAAGGATAGCAAAAATATGCTTCAGAGGTTACCTGTTTACAGACTGGTGAAGCTGGAGGGCCTTTGCCTCACTGCTGCTGGTGATTAGTTAGTTCCTATCACCAAACATATTTCTCTAATTTCTTCTTAAAAGGGAAACGAGTCCCAGAAGCCTTGTAAAAATCTCAACTGCGTGATAAAAAAGACCAGTCATGCTTTACATTGATCCATGTTCAATTTAAGAGCCATACTGAACAAAGCAGGAAGATCTTTGCAACTGAGGGTAGTAGCAGATGTGGGCAGCTTCATTAAGGTTTGGGGATAATCAGAGGAAATGATGAGGGAAGACCCAATGGGAGTAATGGTTGAGTGTGTCATTATAACTGCAATTCCCAGCTATTGCCTCTGTAACCAGTCAGCTTAAGGAGCTCTTCAACTGCTGCTGTTGATATTCATTTGGAAAGGAAGCTAACCAGGAGCTGTTGAGGCCCATTAAGCACATTGCCTCCCTTATTCCTCGTTATAAGTGCAGTTGGACTCAACGTGCCTTTTTACATTAACTGGCATTTGTAGTCTTCTATTGCAGTTGGCATCAAATGCCTTCTTTATTGTAGTACTAAAGAAATGAGCCTTCTAGACAAAACCGTTTGCTTAGCACAGCAGTGGTGTATACAGATAATAGTTTCTTCAGCTGAAAAAAAATGGTACAAAGATTACACCCCCTAGTACTGGAATGGGACAACTCGCCATAGCCAACTTACCACAGTCAACTCACCATGGCCAACTCACTGCAGGACAATTTGCCATGGCCAGCTTGCCATGGGACAACTCACTGTGCAACAATTTAACAATTCTATTTAATTATTTAAAATAACTAAAAATGTTTTTAATGTTTGCCATTCACATTTCATTCTGCCCCTCCTTTTGCATCCTTTCTTCAATGATTCTATTCCATTAGTTCTTTGATATTGATGAAACCTTTTTTCCTGTAGTGAGTTGTTCTGTGGTGAGTTGGCCGCAATGAGTTGGCCACGGCAAATTGTCATAGACCCTGCCCTCTGTACAGCCGCCTCCTACACATTTTTCCAATTCTTGTACAAGCTATAAAAAAAATATCTTTAAGAACCTCAAGAGGTTAGCAGTGGGGAGAAAGTGAGGCCTCGTTATTTTGTAGGAGGTAGCCAAGAAGGGAGTTGTTCTATCTGCTCTTCATTTTAAGGTTTGTTTGTTTGGGTTTTTTTGCTTTAAGTTAAAAACACACACACCTGACTGGTTTTTTTTTTAATAAAAAAAGAAAAAGAACAGGCCATGAGACTACATCTAGCCAATTCTTAGAAAGTAAAGAAAAGTTTCCCTTGCCACTAAGAAATATGAAAAAAAACCCACATTCTCTCAATTTCTGTTTGCTTTGCTTTTAATTTGCCCATTATCACAAACAGAGCAAATTAATGGGAGTGGACTACTTCATCATTATTTATTAAGCAAAGCAATCAAATTGAATTGAATAACACAAAGCCATTAATGCCTACAACAGTAATTTGCAGATCCAAAAATATTTCAGTATTGTTCACCAATGGGAATGTAAATTTAACTAATTGCCCTTTGACCAGCTCAAAGCAAAAAAACTGTCAGTGATCTGATTGCCACATGTCACTAAACTATAAACTATGATTTGAGAACCCAATGTCAGCATGCTTGATGAACCCAACTAGCATTTATCAACTTTTCAACAAGCTCAATTCAGTAAGGGCTGTAAAAAAGATAAATTTCCTATATGATGTTCTCAGGCCTATATGGAGCTAAACCAAAATGTTACCACCACTGTCATTTAAGCAATGCAATAATCTCAAACACAATTTATATTCTGAACAATAAGCAATAGTAAAGCAACTTCTAGTCTTACCTATTTGCCAGTCCCAGGGCACTTTTAACAATTCTTTGTGTTCCATTATGGCCCTGGGAGGAAAATAAAGAAATGTTTTGATAAGGAAAATCTTAATTATTTCCAAAAAGTGAAATAAATATGTATATTGTTAAAATAGTGGAAATCTCATGCTCATATTGGTTACTATCAGATTTGTACAAACAGCTTTCACTTTCTCTTTGTAATTAAAATGTAATTAGCAGAGAAATGAGGTTACTAACAGAGAGAGTTATGTAAGGGCAGGAGTAGCCTCCGCTGTGAGTGAGGAGAATAATATAGAAGGAACCTTTTTCCTCACAGAAAAATTCCATATACTACATCAAACCAATGTCTAGTTATAATAGTATATTAGAAATTGTAATAATACTAGCAATAAATACTGCAATATTACATGATTGCTCAAGTTAAGTGTCTGTTGTATATTATCTTTTATCAGTTTTTCTAATGGCATTAATATGGTTTTCCTAGAGCTGCGGGGAAAATGGAAAGAAACAGATACATGCCTCACAGAGTGAAGCATTAGATTAATGTTTTTACTGGTGACAGATCATGTTTTTGTCTTGATGTTGGAATGAAAGTACCAAAACATTTATTAAGTGGTATTAAAATAAAAGGACTGAAATCTTTGGTATTACTGAAAAAGTTAATCTCTCTAATATTGATTAGGCAGGGAAAGATGACAAGAATGCATGTCCATACTCTGTTATGATATGTAGAAGTGTCACAGGACAGTGTCCAGATCAGATGTAACTTGATTTAACCCCTTGGAAATGGAGAAAATTACAGGCAGTCCTCCACTTACAACCATAATAGAGGCCAGATTTTGTGTCGTGCATTATGAAGTTCAATAGTGGAGGGACCCATGTGACCAACAATACAAACATTTTTTGCAGCACAGGTTAAGGAAAGACAGTTGTTAAGCAAGGGCTACAGACGTTAAGTGAGTCAATGCATTCCTGTGGGAGTTGTTTTTTTTTTGCATATGTACAGTATGTAACAGATCCAAGAGTCTACTCTGTCCTTTTCCTCCAAAAATTTGCTTTTTTCATTTTGTTTTTTTTAAGACACCTGAACATCATCGCACCTATTGAGAGCCAATGTACTAGAGTGATTATATGCTGAACTATGATAGAAAACATTAGGTTTAAATCTCTTGTTTGCTGCTATGAACCTTTTAGGAGAATGAAAATGAAAGAAAACTAATTTGACCATCTTTTTTATGTCCATTAATTCCTTGGCTGATACAAAGTTTTAAAAAAAAAATACTTTTCTATTACCAAACAATTACTTTTATTTTTGAATGGTAGAATAAGAAAGCAAGGTAGAGAGAGAGGACCTGATGATTTGACCATTCATGTTGAGCAACCTATAGGAAAACACCCAGGGACAAATGGAACATGAGAGAAGACGGCTGTGGATCTTTCTCTATTAGACATGATAGGATGGAGTGATGCCCCTCTTTACTTACAGCTGAATTCCACTGAAGAAGGAACCAAAGAGTCCAATCATCCCTAGGAACTCCACTCTACTCAGATTCCGTACGATGTACTCCTCACAGACATTGGAAATGCCATAGAGAGTGGCCCCACCTAGTACTAGAAGATCACCTATAAGTTTATTTTCTCCTAGGAGCAAAAAGAATTGTAAAAAAAAAAATAGTAATCACAATATGCTATTAGAAGTTCTACTTCATTCATTTAGAAACACTTTATGAATTTTATACCAAATAGTTCTGGCTACCATGACTGAGTCCTCCTCTCAGGACTTCAATCCATGCAAAGGTATATCATAGAGCAGGGGTATCAAATTTGATTTCATTGAGGACCCCATCAGGGTTGTGTTTGACTTCAGGGGGTCAGGGTGGATGTGGCTGGGGGATGGTGGCCAGCTCAATGTCACTCATGCTGGGGTGCCTGTGGTGACCCAAGTGATCCGCCAGAGAAAATGGGCTTCCGAGCTCCATTTTTGTCTCCTGCAACTCTCTGACAGCAAAAACGGAGCTCCCAAGGGCTGCATGCAGCTGTCCTGAACTCCATTTATGCTTGTAGAGGCACCCTAGGCTGGTCCCTCACTGTTTCAAGGGCGGCCCCACAGGCCATATCTAAGCATTCCATGGGCCGAATCTGGCCCCCAGGCCTTGAGTTTGACACCCCTGTCATAGAGCCATGCTGCCTCAGGAGATTGTTTCACACATATTATAAAGTGAATTGTGACTAGCAAAAAAATGGGGCAAAGATTCTATGGCCCTTCACAGGCTGTTTGGAACTCCAGGCATCACAAGATTCCCACATTGGTCTTATTCAGCATGCGGAGTAGTGAGAGATACTGGTAAAAATAATTCAGCAAGATCCTGAGGGCTACTTCTGACATCATTAGGTAATCCATTCTTTTCTCAAGCTGCCATGTTTCTATATGCAGACATTTCCAGGGAACTTAGAAACAACAACAAAACCCACACCATTTCCTTTTTAATCTGCAAAAACGTACCTGCTCCTTGCTGTCTTCCAACAAGAACATCTGCTCCTGCCATGCAGCCCATGCCCAGAATGCACACCACAATCCCGATGAAGTGCACTGCTTTGTATCGCACCAGGAGGAAGAACCAAGAAAGTAAGATCACCACTGGAATCACAAAACAATCTAGGAGCTGTAGGGGAGGGGGGAGAATAACAAAGAAAGAAAGAATTCTGATTGGAGTTTTTGAATGGATGATAATCACACAGATCTGTAATTCAAAAAGGGTTTGATTGAAATGGTTATTTCAGACATTCCTGGCAAATTATTTGGGAGCAAAACTAAAGATAGTCTCTGCAAAACCCAGCACAAGAGGAATCCATGATATTTCTTGGCCCAAATAATGCTTTTAAATCTAATTTTCCTGGGAAATTAATGGACAACTATAGATGCGATCAATCCACTTTCCAGGAAGAATGTTTCGTATTCAGAGCAACACTTAGATAATATCATCATTAATAAGATTCAGATGGTTTCAGTCATGCCACTTGCTTAAACCATTGATAATTCTCATGATTAGTGTTTCTTTTCCTCCTCTGAAAATACAATGCACAGAAGTTATCTGTGCAACTATATTGCTAACCATCAGCTTGGACATTTAAGTAAGAATTGTATGTGTTGAGGTATGTACCTATACAGACAGATATGTGCTCCCACAAACATACTCATACAGTTAGAAGAATCAGAGCTAAAATGAAATCTGAAGTTGAAGAGCTGAAGAGAGGAGCAACACATAAGTCATTGGTTGAAAAGATTTCTGGGAGTTGTTTAATTTAACTGAGACGAGTTCACAATATGTGAATTCTCATGGAAGAAAAGCTTCTGAATTTTCCCTTACAAAGTAAGATGATGATGATAATGATGATGATGATGATGATGATGATGATGATGATGATGATGATGATGATGATGATGATGATGATCATCATCATCATCATCATCATCATCATCATCATCATCATCATCATCATCATCATCATCATCTATTCTTGAAGGATACTGG